TTCAGAGCTTATGAACTATAATACCTTCCTTTCCCACATAGGATAGGATAGGATGCATAAGTGCATTGGTGCAGATCTGAAACAGAATATTGTGATTTTAAGTATTAAAGCAAGTACATGTAACTTTTCCACCTCAAAATAGTAGTTTCAAATTAGATCTAAAAGGCCAATAACTTTAAACAAGGAGAATGGTGTCTCCTGCTTTTAGCACTATGTAGCTTTGGCAGCAGGCCAAGGTCATTTGCAAGAAGTGCATACAGCTTTACGGCAGCCTTCAGCTACTAAGCAGCCAGTTAGCCCGTCTCTGTACGGTTTGATACAATGGCTAAATGATGGAAGAGGAAGGTAAGCAATGAAGAAGAGATTACGAGAGCGTGACCAAGCAACCTTACAAACTTATCTCAACAAGCATGTAATAAACTACCCTCTGTTTATAACGTTTTACAAAACATAATAATAATTAAAAAAAAGAGTTCTTCTCCAAGCACCACTACACCACTGTTTGAAGTGTGTTACTATCTGAATTTCTTCCAACATTAAATCACCAAATGCAACAATTTCTGGTGTTTTCTCCCCATCTACTCCCTCTGTGTTGTATTAGCTGTGTTAGTGAATATGATTACACATTCTCATCCAGTTTATCTTTTATTTTTCGCTAATTGCTGCATAATAGAAGCATCAATCCCCCACGTTCATTAACAAAGGCTGAAAATTAAGTGTGAGCACCACGTCTGGTCATGAGCCCTCAGCGTCTGTAAATACGTGTGAACCGCACAGCCGGGCGTTCTCTCTGGTTATTACGAGACCATTTGCATTATCTTACATTACTGCAGAGGTAAAGGTTTGTAATAACTGAGCTGGGAATTAAAAAATTATCACAACCCTGCAGCTCAGGGGTGCTGCTGGAGTCTATTTGTGGCAGCAGAGAGGTGTTTTTTTTTCTGTCGCAGTCACCTCCAAGAAAAGGTGAAAATTGCACCCTGGGGGGAACAGCTTTGAGTGTGCGTGTGTGTGTGTGTGTGTGGGGGGGGGCAGATTCACCCATCCTCTCTTTGTCTCTCTCAAAGTCTTTGGCTTGTCCCCAAAAATCCACAACTGTACGAGCAGAGGAAACAGATAGAGTGAGACACTGTTAGGGCTGCAGGGCCTCCAGGGAAACACAAAGCGCTGATATCTGAATAATCTCCTTCAACATGTGTTTAAAAGGCACAATGTGGCAGAAAACTGAGAAGAACCCTGAAGAACAATGGCAAACTGTGAGTTTAAGTAATGATGATAGGCGAATAAATTAATATTTAATTCAGACTGACTGCTTAAGAGAAGAATTAACTCGACATACAAATGAAAGTGAACCTTGCTGGATGCAGGCTCGCTGTTTCTAGATTGAAGCTGAAGCAGAAATGCCTAAAAAACTGCAGTATTTCTAATGGCCAGCAGGTGGCAAATAAACTAGTTTCAGTAAGAAGTATGTGAAGAATTAAATGAGGGGAAAAACAAGCCTTCAATCAAGCTACAATCACTGCTGTTGATAATAAAAGTGACTGCAGAATTGCAAAAAATTGCAGTTCCTGAAAAGTCCACTTGAGGCTGGCTGCATAGCCAAGGAATCCCAATCAGGCTACGTAGAAAGATCCAGGTAGTGACAACGATGCCCACAACCGGTTCCCCAAATGCAACTATTCCTAATGTCAACGATACGAGAGGAGAGCAGAGAGATAAACAGCCTTTATTTAGGACCCCAGCTGGCATCATTTCTCCTCATCTAAATCCACTGACTGGTTTCTTCTGACATCTCTCATTCTGTCTTTTGTTTACTCTGTCCACTCACTCCCAGTTCTCTCAGTGATGATGACATGTCTGATCTGGTAATGAATGCTCAACTTCCCATTTCTACCAGGTCATCCCCAACTCTCCATCCTCGCTTTTAGCTCCTGCCCTCCACACAGTCCTCCAAGGGAACCTTCAATTCTATAAAATAAACGATCCACTGAGTTAAGTTTATGTTGCTGTGGTAGAGAAACAGATTGTTTGATTTTTATGTACCGTATTTTCCGCACTATAAGGCGCACCGGATTATAAGGCGCACCTTCAATGAATGGCCTATTTTAGAACTGTTTTCATATATAGGGCGCACCGGATTATAAGGCGCATAGAATAGAACGTGTTTACAACTGAACAAGGCTGGGAGATATTGTGAATATATAAATATAAATACGTATAAAACGTAACGTATAAAACTACAAAAACAAAAGTACATAAGATGATTTCCCCAAATAATAAATTATTTCTTTGACGTTTCTCTTAACTCTCAAAACGTAGTTTTATACGTAGTGCATTCACAATAACTCAACGTTGTTCAAACGTTAATGTGCATATTCACAATATCTCCCAGCCTTGTTCAGTTGTAAACACGTAAAAGAAACACAGTCTGATACCGCTAATTCAAACGTTAGTGCATAACTCAACATTGTTCAGTTACGTATAACACGTAAAGCTCACTTTTTCAGTTCATTCCCCGTCCACGAATCCCTCGAATTCTTCTTCTTCAGTGTCTGAATTGAACAGTTGGGCGAGTACGGCATCCAACATGCCCGGCTCCCTCTCGTCATTATCCGAGTCAGTGTCGCTGAGCGCCGTGTACAACCAGTATGGATCAACCAATTAACCAATTGATCCATATATAAGGCGCTCCGGATTATAAGGCGCACTGTCGTTTTTTGAGAAAATTAAAGGCTTTTAAGTGCGCCTTATAGTGCGGAAAATACGGTATGTCATACTGAAAAATCTGGTATCATGATATAAACCCTAGTCACAACAGTGTTTTGTATCAGATGTCTTTTTAATCGTACATTTTTGTTGTTGTTGTTGTTGTTGACTTGTTGTTTGTAAGAGTTATTCTGGTCTTGTGTTCTCCTCTCGGACAATGTGTTGATTTGTTGGACACAAACAGTTCAGGTTAACATTATTTCTAAAAAAAAGGTTTATCAGACTGAATGTCCCTGGATCTAAAAGCACTCATCAGTATACTTTGGAAAAACTTTTTAAATACATAAATCTTGATAACACACACACACACACACACACGCGCATGTGCAATCCAACCAATCTGTTCAAAACTCACTGATTGTTGAATATATTAAAGCCTCTTCCTTCAGTGTAAATAGCGAGCTCCTAAAGAACATATATCAAACCTCCTTAATGTTATTTGTTAACTGCTTGCTCTTCTTTATGTATTTTATATGTTATATTAACCCTTTTTAAAAAGACCTCCCAGCCAAAGCATTTCACACTGTTGAACTTGATAGATGACTTGAATTTAAGTATTCGGGTCCATTGTATTGGAAAGACTTCTACATAGAAGTAAATGTATGAAAAGGTCAAATGAGTCAGGATTGGTTCATGAGATGAGTTCAACCTCCGAAGGTTTAGTTTTGTGAAATAACATGAGAATTTGCCCCAACAAAAGACCCACAAAGACTCAATGAAATGATTCAAATTTGAATAAACTGAATATTTTCATAATGTTTTTAAAACCCGTCTTTGCAGACAATAAAGTTATAACTCTGAATACAAACTCTTTGTGTCTTCTGTGTCAGTGTAGTAAGTGTGTGTGCATAATGAGAGCAGAGAGCGTTCATTAGCAGATCCACAGTGGCTCATTAGGAGGAGCAGGATGACAGGCTAACCGTCTGTAAAATCCTGCTGTTTGAACCTGCTAATGGCTCCGCTAACCTCTGAGCCAGCGCTCAGGTATAACTGCACACCCTCATTCCTGCGTTTACCTGCATTCCTCCTGCTAGTAGTCTCCTGTTGTCTCGTTAAAAGTCACACCAGCGACAGACCAAACACGAAAATGAGGAGGGAAGAGGAAGTGACAGGAAGAAGAGAGAACATGTTAAGATATACACTCGCTCACAATTAAAATAAATGGTATTTAAAAGTGTGATCTCACCTGTAGGGGGTATATATGAGCTAAAGTTTAAGTCTTCAGGTATCTATTTCTTTATTTCTGAAGTTATTAATCCTGGGCTTATTTGAGTTATAACGCTTTTGTGGTCTTAATGCAGGAAAAGTTTATAAAGTTTTCAGTTTTCTCCAGTAGAGATCTTCATCGAGCTCTATTGAAACAGGCTTTAATGGCTACAACAATCAAAATATGTTGAAATAAAGTTGTTGTTTTTGTCACTGACAGGCTCAGATTGTTATTCTGTGTGTCTGACAACATTAGAGAAAGGATCCCTACAGAGATCGACCTTTCTTTTAAAGCGGAAAATGATTTTTAAGCCAGAAACAGCTGTTACATCACTCTCTTCAGACACACCAGACTCCATTGACAGAAACAGTAATTTTACCTCACTGAACACAAGAGCTGCTGGTCTACCTCTGAACTGATTTATTTTATTTATATTGATTATTTTTGTACAAAGAGAGCACGGTTTACCAAAGTAAAATTCCTTGTGTTTTTAAGCATACCTGGCCAATAAAGCTGATTCTGATTAGTTCAGAGCTATGACATCACTCTCTTCAAAAACACCAGACTCCATTGATAAAAAGAGTCATTTAATGAAAGTGTCAAAGAACTTATAGACAATAACAATACCAACAATCTTATATTCTAAATAACATTATCTATATTATAATGTGAATATCCTGCGACCAGTGAGAGACAGGCTCAGTCTTTGTGCACTCTTCCTGTGACCACCAGTGTGTTCTTTACCTCTCATTTATTGATACTATGATCATGTCCAATCATACGTAGCACTGATATGAAGACTAAAACCGTCATCATAGTGGTCGACTCTATCGCTTGCCCTTTGTCCAAAAGGGGACATGTTTGAGAGAGTGTCTCAGGAAGATTTCAGGGCCAGTCTGCCTGAAATTTTCAGCAGTGTGAAAAGTGCCTCTGATAATACCTCACAGGAATCAGATGTTCCAGATGATTGTCATGAAAACACACACACACACACACACTTCTGTAAAAGAAAACAAACATCCAGATGTTTCTGTAGAATCAGATTTTTATAAATACTGAATATTGTACAAACAATGGTACCGTTTTCTCTGGGAAATAAAATCAGGACGACATCCTGTAAATGCACAGACCGTCTAAAACCCAACACTTAAGGGAGCAATAACAATCCAGAGCGCCCCCTGGAGGCAAATCAACAACACGTAACAGCAGCAGAGAAGAAGACAGTTAAGAGTAGCCGTCTAAATATGAAACTAAAAAGTTCAGACTAACAGAGAAGGATTAGCTGGTACAAATCTAGATCAATCAGTGACTCTCACCATCTGTTGGAGCTTCTAATGAGACACAGTTTGCATCTTCAAGTCATAATACAGTAACATTTCATAAAGCTTGTTCCAGTTTCTCCCTAAGGATTGGTTGTGTACCATATGTGAGGCTGTAAATAATAATACACAGTCTATGGTCAGACATGTAACATTTTGCACAGTTTGATGAAAAAGGGTGAGATCCTTTTTTGCTTCTCAATAAACAGAAAAACATATTTCTCAGGTGAATGGATGGATGCTTTTTAACCTCATGTGTCCATAAGTCCTAAACTGTAAGACTAAAACAAGGGAAGGAGAAGCCCCGCACTCTGTCTGCAGCCGTGGATTCTCAATTAAATGATGCATTTCAAGCTCAAATTTAAGAAGAGGTTTTTTTTTCAAGCTCAAATTTAAGAAGAGGTTTTTTTTTTAACCCAGCGAGGTAAAAATGTTTTGCTCTCCTTGTGCTGACTTCAAACTTTGTGTCACACCACATGCATTTTCCTGAAGAGGAAGAAATGACTTTAAATAACACTTCACTTTCAATCAAACTTTCAGAGACACATTTCTAAACCTTGGATTTCATTTTAAAGGTTCATTTTCTGACTTTCCACATGAAACTATAAGGCATTCAAACCCTGCTGTTTTTGGTTTTATCTCTTAAATCCCTCTTAATGATGGTCCGACATTCAGTCACAACTCGTTCTTTTTATGAAATGAGTACAACACACTGGAGTAAAATAAAATAAAAATACATTACACAAATATTTCAGTAAAATAAATACTTCCCCCACCAGGTTCCTCTCTGGGTCTGAGGTCATGAAATCATCGCTCTCATTATTATTAAAGGAAACCGTTAGAGCTGGATCCATTTGGATGACTGTGATCTGTTAACTTCACTTCAAATGAACAACAAGAAGTCCTCGCAGACAGAAGTGACATGTGGAAGGATGTTTATGTTCCATGTTGTTACGTCTTGTTGAAGGGTGCTCCAGATTAAAACCCAGACTGAGAACGAACCAAAGAAATCTGATGCTGACTAATAACGATAAAACCGGATTGGTAAACTGACAGAAAATGATCTGCAATTGTTTTAACAAGCAGTAAAATCTTCTAAAATAAGAGAAGGGAACACCTTTAGGTTTTGGAACTGTTTGGAGATTCTGCATAGCCAAAGTTGTTTTTGAAGACTTGATAAATTAGAAAATTATTAAAGATATCTTCCAAATGGTTCACTTCTGTGCAGCAACTTCTGATCATATGTTATCATCGTCCTCAGTAGATTTGGTTTGTCCACATTCCTTCAAATGCTAAGAATTATTGTCTTCCATGAGTTCTCGTCTTTAAAGAGTTTAAACTCTTATGCAGAGGAAAATCACATCTTACATCCAAAAGCTCCAGAACCGACACTAAATCCTCCATCCGCAGGGTTTTTGTTTTTGGCACATAAAAACATGATCATTATTCACAGTTTTCTTAAAGGCATTCACTAAACCATGAAGAGGTAAAGCATGATTCCAATATCGCTGAACTCTCGTGGATGTTCTGCAGGATTCTTTGGTTCCTTCTTAAACTAAAAGGTAGATAAAAAAAAAAAAAAAAATGAACTGAATCGATCGCAGTGAAACAAATCTGTTCTGTTCCTGCATTGTTTCTCTTCAGCAGCATTCTGTGTCAGGCTTCAAATACAGGCTGAATTTATGCAGCTAAAAGACAACGGGGTATCTTAGTCTTGGTACAGTTCAGCCTGGTTTGGCTCAGTTTACTTTAAAGGGTAAAAGGAATGCTTTAAATTCACCACAGAAAATAAACCTAGAGGGTTTTGTTTCTTATAATCAAGAATTCCAGATCGAAAACATTTGTTGTGATGTTTTTAAAAAAGAAATCACTGCAACAAAATGATAAAAAAAAAAAGATAAATAGAATTTAAACTAGGAGCTAAGGCTGTCAACATTTTAAATACTTTCATACCTTTTTGTTAGCGCGTGTTTTTAAACAATACACTCTCATTGAAATGATGAAGTGTGGTACAGTACCAAAGCTTTAAAAAGTGACAGACCTTCAAAAGCTGCTGCGACAGAAAGCGAGAGAACGTTTTCTATATTATCCACTGGTTAGCAACACGAGTGTAACTCAGCCTGTATGCAGCAGTCTGACTACAAATGATGGTAAATGGCCCAACCTTGGGTGTGCAGAACTTCTATTTTAGTTGTTGAGGTATTGAAGCGGGTACAGATATCGTCTGATTTATTATCAAAGGTTTAAAATATTTTGACAACACTACGATGAACTAAAAAAAAATCAATACAGTGTTTCTGAGAATGGAGGAGGTATCAGAAAAAATACCAACGCAATAATCAAGTGTATCTATAGTTTTGAACACCCCTAGTGAGTTGGATTCATGAGACACAGAAGTCGCAATTATAAAAAAAAAGGTTTTTAGGGAACGTCGATAGGCTAGCAGTTGGAATCCAACCTCACCCCTTTGCTGCATGTCGCCCCCCTACTCTCTCCTCCCACCATTACCTGTCTCTCTTCAGCTGTTCTATCCAATAAAGGCAAACAGACCCAAAAAGTAACTTCTGTGAGTGTGTATCTTCTTTGGTGAATTCAAAGTGTGTCTGTTAGAGGGTTATATATGAAGCAAACACCCTGTAGATAAGAGGATTTTCTCTTCAGAAGGGAATTAAAAACATTATCTGATGCTTGTGATGGTTTCTGCTGAAACACTTAATGACTCTTTCCGACTACATGATACAGAAGCTGAAATGAACTCTACGGTTTCAGTGTTGCGATGCGTGTTTTGGCGGTCGGTGATGTCAGGTGTTATGCTCCGTTTGTAGCCGTCCAGCTCACCTCTGCTCTGTTTGCACGATCCCAGAGTTAAAAAAAAAAACATTTGCATCCACACCATGTCAGCAGGTACTGAAACCAAAACAGCTCCGGTCTGTCCATGCCCGTCTGTTTAAATCCAGTTTAGGTGCAACAGTTTCTCTCCATGCGTCCACTTCTCTGAGGTTTGACACACAAAGTGGTCCGCCTGCCAGGTCTCCGACTTTACGTTGACGCAATTTAAAGTTCTGGTTCTTAACATCAAGGATCATCAGGAGGTTTTAATTCTCTTTAAGATCCTCACTGTCCTGTTCTACTGCAGGTGTGTTGTTGAGAAGTTCCTCAAATCAAAGTAAGGAAGCATTCAGTTTTTGTCTGTTTCTGCTCAGTGAAGGAGTGAATTCTTCAGTGTTAAATCCTGGGTTAGGTTCTGTTTGTACCATTATTTCCTCCTGTCAGGGCAGCCACGTGCTGCAGGTCAGTCAGTGCTGCCGCAACATCCAGAGAGGAGCAGAGTTTAAACATTAAATCCTTTAGGCGGAGCGGTGTAACGACGCGTTTGGTTTCCCTCTACGACAGCAGACACCACGGCGTCTTATCCTGGTCACACTCCAGTTTGGTGTTGATGACGGTGCAGGGAGCGCCGCTGATGCTCAGCTCCTGCCGGGACTCCACCGAGTAACGGAGGTTACTCAGCCCCCCTCTGGATCCACCTTAAACTGCTCCTACAGGGAGGAGGGGGTGGGGTGTGGTTAAAATATTAATACTTTCTGGGATTGATGATGGAGGCTGTTGTGGTTTTGATTCCTCAGATTTTCTCTTTCCAAACTCCAGACTGTAATTTTCACAGCTTTGAGCAGATTTTTTCAGCTCATACATACACTGGAGTTTAATGAGCACAAACAGCCTGATGTTTGATTATCTCATATCTGGTTTCATTATCCAACTGTTACACTTACGTTACATTCACAACCCTGATTCCTAAAGATCTGGGACGTTGTCTAAAATGGACATAAAAACAGAATGTGCTGACTTGTAAACCCATATTTCATTGAATAACTCAAAGACAACACATCGAATGTTGAGACATCAAGCTTGCTTGATCTGTGCTCTCTCACAAAGAAGTTCATGTTTTGCTTCATAGGAATCCTTTGTGTTTAACTGGACTTTCTAAAAAGGAAGGTAAGGGCTTATTTGAGCTATTCTAATGCCAAAGACGCATTTTAAATATCCCTGTTACACTGAGCAGACTCAATGAGACGGTGTTTTAGTTGAGGAAACTTGTTTATTAAAGGATGTTAAAATGAAGTTTATGAGATAATTAATTATTTTTAAAGACTGAGATAAATCTGACCAAAGGATTAAGGATAAAAAAAAAAGGTTCCCAGTCTTGCACTCTTGATATTGTGTAAATGTTGTACCTGTTTCTGAGCTGAGACTCTCTTCTGGTCTCTCTTCCTCCAGGCCGAGTCGTGGATATGGAGGAAGGTTTTATATCCGGTCGTGATTCCACTCGGCCTAAACAGCTGCAGGGAAAAACATCAACATCAACGGACACGGATAAAGATTATCTTAGAAACAACATGACCAATACATCATGTTTACAAGGATAATAATGCTCTGGAAACTCTTTCTAACAGGGTCTTAAGTTGGGATTTACCTGTAGCTCAGCTTTCCTCAGTCTTCTGTAGAACTCGTCGTCCTCTCTGCCCCAACCCCAGAACCTGTTGGACATCCCGTTACACTGAAAACACAAACACACAAAGAGTTAACCGTTTTAAAGACTGGAACACTACCGTGTAAAAAAAAAAAACATGGCTTTTATGTGCAGTGTTTAACTCAACAGGTTAAACAGCTCCATCTAGTGGACATTTTGAAACATTACATGAATGTGACAGAAACAGAAAGAGGACTATTTCTGACCCACAGAAACAACTTCCATGACATCCTTCCTCTTTCTTTTCTCACTGTATTGTACAAACTGAGATTTTTCACAAAGATCCCATAAACCTTTTTAACTCTGAAAAACGAGTATGCATCACTCTCCATATTGGTTCTGGGATTTTATTATGGCTTTACTTGAAATATTTTCAAACATTTTCATATTTTTTTATTCTGTAAAGCCTAGGCTAAAGAGTTTATGTAAGTGAATAAAATACAATTGATTTCTGTCAAAAGTCTTTTAATAGTTTCATACTTTATGAATATAATAATCTCAAATGTTTCTCATTGAAATCTTTTAAAAAAGCCAAAAGCCATAATGACACAAAAATATTCTGATTCGAAAAAGAGGACAAAGTTTATCTTCACACTCAAGAAATTATGCAAACTCTGCACTTTTTAGTTTTTTAAATATTCTCTGAGGTTTCAGAGCATTTCCATCACTTTTAACAGTGCAAGCAAAATGATCGACCTCATCAACAAATGTTCAACGTTTTGAACTCAGAGATTAACGCCTAAATAATCTGTTTCAGAAAGAAAGAATGTTGGGGAACATTTGTCAATAAAAGTAAATCAACTCATTAACAGATCATTTTAAAACAAGACACTCAGGCGTCTGTTCCAATAGTCCAAACTGAACTGGGGAAAAAAGTGTTTAAGTTTTCTGCTCCCTTCCCGTACTCTGAAATTACAAAAAGAGCTGAAACTCTGCTTTTAAGAGGAAGTTAAATTACTTGGAAGCAGACACATCTGGATGCAGATGTTCTCCCTGATTTGTTTGTGCATGAAATAGACAAACATTTGTGTATTTTAATGTCTAATGCTGTATTTTTTGTGTTTGTATGTTTGGCTGCTTGTTTTTTGTGTGAAACTCTGTTAATAGTGCTGCTGCCTGTCTCAGCCAGGACTCTCTTGAAAAAGAGATTTTTAATCTCAACGACTTTCTTTCCTGGTTAAAAAAGATTAAATAATAGAAAAGTACCATTTTGTAATGTTTCTTGGTGAGCAGCAGGATTCCTCCCACGTAGGTCTTGTAGTGGTAAAGCGGGTGCAGCTCAGGGGAGGCCACGTGGAACGGTCCGTCCTCGGGAAAACCGTAGTCTAAAGCTTCATTCAAAGGCAACAGGTCAACATCGTGCATCGCCAGGTAGTCCGTGTCATTACCGCTCTCCAGGTAACCGACATTTATCAGAGACGCTCTGTTAAACCTGGAACAATTGAAAACACATGATAAGACCTCTCTGCAGGCTGGATTTAAAAACTCTAAGTGATCCAGGCAAATTCAGGATCAAGAGGTCTGAAGAGGAGATATTTCTGTACTGGCCAGGGACGATTTGTCCTTACAGGGAACAAACTCTTTGAAGTGTCCAGCAGAACAATCACTGCCTTGAGCAGGGAATTGTTTCTCTAATGGGGACATTTTGGACAAAATATCTCATCGTATCACACTCAAAGCACACAAAAATAAACGTTCAGATCGAGACAGTGGTACAACAGGAACTCCTTTGTCTGAAGAGGTAAAACTGTTTGTTTTATTAATGAAGTCTGGCATCAAGAGAAACAAATTAAAAGAAAAAGATTTTTAAAAACAATCGCCATCTTTAACAAAATGCTTTATCTCTTTAAAGATCCTTTCTGTAATGTTGTCAGACACTTAGAAGAACAATCTGAGCCTGTCAGTGATAAAGATGACTTTGAGTGGACACACATCAAGGATGATGTTGCAGATATTCAGCCCAGGTTTGAAAATGTCAGAATAATCTACCCTCACCCCAACGCCTTGCTGATTATATCCAGGAGGTTTAAGTTGCTCTAACAATAAATTAACAAATTAAGTATGTACAGCAGATCTGGTGATGTCAGGTATTTCCTCACCTGTAGTGATCCATCTGGTTGACGATGAAGATCTTGTGGCGGATCTTCTTCTTGTTGAGGAAAGTGTGCATGAAGGGAACAAACACCAGCAGCTCCTCGAAGCGCTCTCTGAAGGGGATGATGAGCGCCAGTTTGTGAGGACCCCAGGAGGGGTCGTCGGCCGCAGATGCCTGACTGTCAGCGGGGCAGGGCGGAGGCTGCATGTGCTGGGGGGGTCGTTTGTCCTCGTGCACGGGGGCCGACAAGTCACCTGAACAGCTGAGCTGCAGCCAGAGCAGAGAGACGAGCAGCAGCACCATGCAGAGGCCGAACAGCTTGTAGACCGTACATCTACCCGACAGGAACCTGGGAAGACACAGGGGAGAAGATGGGTTAAATGAGGCGTTTGACACAAGTATATGTTTTTCAGATTGAGAAAAATATAAATCTGTAAACAACCAATCACATTGGACAATAACAAGAGGGATCACTTCAATCCAGGGAGTCAAAGAAGTGCCTTAAAAAAAAGTTTGTAGATCTGCACAAAATACAAAAATAGATGTAGAATTCTCATATTTATTCCTTAACTTTCTTCTGTTCAAGTTCATTTTCACATTTAAGATTAAAGAATGGTTTATTGTATGCATGTTTAGTAGTCTCTTTTTACAGAAACATAAAAAGGTATAGGTGAGGTACATAAATCAAATGTAATAGGCTTTGTAAATTAATACAGAATAAAGAACTACAACAGAATATTTTTCAGCCGTTTACAACACAACAACTGAACTTTCCTACAGAGAAAAAAAATTAATAAAAACAGTGATCATTATCACAACTGACTGTTTTAGTGTGTTGAAGTGACATTAGTTATAGTGACACACACACACACACAGTGGAGTTAAAGGGGGGCACATGAGAAATAACTTCATGTTTGTGCATCAGAAATACGTGTGTTTCTGCACAAACATTCGTAACGTTTGTGTGTTTTTCTTCAACTTCTTTGATGATGGAAACTGAATGACAAGTCATTTTGCTCCCAGTTTGCAGTGATAGATTGAGGGAAATTGGCTTTTTTGCTTTTGTTTGTGTATCCCTTTTGCCTTTAATGGACAGGAAACGTTGGGAGGAGAGAGAGTGCCGGATGACATGTAGCAAATGAGGACCACAGCCTCCGCTCAAAGGAAACGCAACATAACCGCCAGGCCACCCGACGTCCCTAAATTATGTTGGGTATTGACTAACATAAACATACCGAAAGATAAAATATAAAATGTGTTGATGTGTCAGCTTGATAGCATCATTTGGCTGACACTCATGTTGTTGTTGTTTTTTTTTTTATTAAATAAGACCGGTTAGAAATTGAGTCTGGATCAGTTTCTGAACTTGTTTAGATTACCAGTCTGAATGAAGAATCAGTCAGACCTGCAGCAGGGTCAAAAACTTTACTTCCACCCTTTCATGCAACAAGCAGCCAGAATTCAACAAACCGGTTGTCAAACAGAAAACAAGCATTCAAAAACAGAGGTTCCCAAACTGTGTCTTCAATACAAGAACAAATCTTTGAGCTTTAAAATGATGAAATGCTTTAAAACACACAGACGTCTGATTCGGCCTTTTTAAGACCAGAGATAGAATTTGTTCTTGCAGATTATGATTTGGATGCTTAGTCTTGAGCATTGCCTGAGAAGCGTTTCTACTTTTCAAAGATACAAAGGTTACATGACAATCCAGGGATTCAGAGGTAATTTATACATTTCAAGAAAATTACAGAATAGTATATCTGATCACAATATCTTATTAACTGAAAATTGTAAAATGCTTCCGTAAATTTGAAGTGCAGGACTCATGGAGTTATTTACTGCAATTGGATTTCAGAATCACCTCTCATCAAACGTCATCCTTTACCTTCTTCTCTTCGCTGTCCAACACTCTCCCTCTGTCAACTTTATTTATAAAACTGTCATCTTCTACTTCTTCTTCTATGCCCCTTTCGTCTTCTTTTTTTCTTGCTGTCAACTTCCTCATGTCATAAGCGTCACTGTGATAAGTCAGCAGTGAGTCAAATTGGAAATGTATTTTTTCAAATTAAATGATGGCTATTTGGCACCAGTGATTTGATCATTGTTCCACGCGACTCAGGACCGCGATAAATAGTTTTGACGATCATTTCTCCCATCCCCAGTGAACGTTGATATCTAAGGAAGATTTCTAATGTTTGTTTCCCTCTATAGAAGAAGCTTTAACAAATACTCATCAAATAAAATACCTTCTAAAAGTCAAACAGCAGAGTTTTAGGAGATCTTGAAACTTTAATCTGAATTTGAATCAAAGCAACAAGCAGGAATTAATAACTTGAACAATCTTTTAAATGTCCTTGGACCACAGTTTGGAAACCACTGCTTGAAACATGATTCATCAGCATTTACTCACTTCTCTTCTTGATGAGGAACTTTAAAGATTTCATTTCTTCAAAATTCAAGAAAAAATGTTTCAGTTTAAGACCATGCTTCAATTTTTTTTTTTTATGTGTTTAAATTGTGAATAAATGGGGTAAAGTGTGTTTGATGTGACAGCTACAGTCATGTTACTACTGCATGTATCTATCTGTAAATCTCAGTCACTAACCACCTACTTTCCTGAGAGCTCTTGAGCTCTCTTAGGCTCCTTCGAGATCGTTGGTTGACGGCCTGCCAGAACAACCCCCACCCCCACCGGATTGTTGATGGACGGCTTGCCTCCCCCCTCCCCCTCCCCCTCCCCCCATCCCCTTGCTCCCTTATCCCTGTTCCTGCACCTTATCCCATCTCTTCCCCCTATCCCTTTCCAAGCCTGGCGCAGTCTAGGCCTGTGAAGGCTGTTCCGTCATGAGCCGGGGATCCGGCCGAAGATTTCTGCCTTTTAATAAGACATTTTTTTTCTTACCACTGTAACTTTTGCTGCTTTGCTAAAGTGCTCATGATGGATAAACCGGGTCTTTGTAACATAACAATGAGTAAGGTCTTTTACCTGCTTTTTGTAAAGTGTCTCGAGATAACACTTGTTATGAGTTGACGCTATACAAATAAAAATTGATTGATTGATTGATTGATTGATGGTAAGGGGTGGAACTAGGACCCGAATTTTGGGGCTGATAACGAAATCGATATTGGGGAGGGAAAGAAATGTGATCACTATATATCGGCCGATATCTTACTTGGACTCTTGATCAATCTTTAGAGATAGATAGATACAGATAAACTCAACAACAGTGTTGATCCCTCAAATGCAGTTATCCCATCGCATTACATATCGCACTATTAGAGTAACATCAGAGGAAAAGATGTAAACGAAGACAATACGGTCCCTTCATTAAGTTCCCTATAGCTTTATTTTTTTTTAATTTGTACATTTTATTTCATTCAAGCAAACAATAACGTTAAGAAAAACAAACAAACAGAAAGGAAAGGAGCAGAAAGAAGACTAATCTTATAACATCTGCCCCTCTTTCACAAAACGAGAGCCATGGTATTGAAACAGGTATTTTATATTTTCACTAGAATCACATAGTTTAAAAATACTGTCCATTTACAACTCTGTTTTTGCACATTTATATTTAATCTTCCATATTTAAGACTAGTAATGCTAAATTAAATCCTGGTTGTTTATATTCACATTCTTAGTTTTAGTACTTATTTACTTTGTATTTAATATTATATTGTGATTTGCTAACATTGTGTTTTTTTGCTCATATTGTGTGTTTGCTGATGTATGCACAATGTCCCAGTTTGGGATGAATAATAATTATATTTTATTCTATTTATGAAGAATAATAATTAAATCAACATCTTACCTTCTCTCCTCTTTGAAGTAGAGGACAGGTTTTCTTCTCGATGAGTACATCATCTTCACAGCCTCTCAGCTTCCTGATTTCAGTCCGTTTTCAAAAAGAAAATCAACAACAAACTTCTCAAACAAACAGAAAACCCAGAAGCTGTCGCGTTTGTTGCTCAGAAATCTGTTAATCTTCAGTCCTTCATGTCTCATTTGTAAGTGTTGACGGAGACCAAAGTGTCCTCCCTGCTAACTCATCCTCCAGGATTAAACTCAGACCCCTTAGCTTTGCAGCAGATGTTTTAAAAGACGCTGAAGTGTTTCTTATGAACGGGCTGTTTCTGTTTCTGTGTCGCTCAGCTAGCAGCCTCTTTACTGTACACGTAGCATGTAGCGGTTCACTCACTCAGCCGCTCCGGGTTGAACATTTTCCACCGTTAACTTTAAATTTAACGACAGTGTCGGTCAAAGACGGTCCACAAAACATTAAACACGGAAAAATACATTAAAATTAACACCAAAAAGCACCGACCGGAGAAACCACAGACGACAACTTCACTCTGGAAAATATCAAACAGAAGACGATTGTAATATTGTCCAACCGGTAATAAGGTCGGACCGGAAACGGATATTAGTACCAAACGTTCCTACCTGTGTAGGAATGTGTTGAAGAACATTACAAAGCTCGAACTTAATTTGAATTTATTTGTTCTGCACTAAATTTCAGAGACGAATATTCTGTTATCTCATTATAGGTGAAGTTTTATGTTGTCTATTGGTTGCCATTTCAAAAAAAAAAAGAATGAAATAAAACCATAGATAGACTGTAAAGAATTAAAGAGTAAAACAAGAAAAGAAATTGAGCTTCAGCTTTATTTCAACATTTTCTTGTTTTATTCTTTAATTCTTCACATTCTATGGTTTTAATGCTTTCCTTTATTTATGTATTAGTCATTTTCTTTAAAAAAAAAAAAAAAAAGGCAACCAAAAGACAACACACACCTTCGCTTATAATGAGAAAATAAATATTTTATTTTTCTTTAATATTTTTGTTGGATAATTCGTTTGTCTAATTGTCGCCAGTGATAATGTTTTAGGGCTAAAAACGGTTCAATCAGATAATAAGAATGATCACAGTGGCAGCTAGGTCAATATTCACTGCACATGTACCTGCTGCAAACTATCAATCTAATAAAAATGTTATAAAACATTGAATCATGATAGAAGTACGATCGATTTTATATCTGTACTTTTTTATTTTTAAATCAGGTTATTTGACCTGAATCAATAGAGTGTTGATTGTGTTTAAATGCTACTCAAGTATTGAATCAAACACATTATATATCTAAAATACAATATAAATCAATACCATTTCCTTTTTCCTATACTGTATCAATGCAAACCCTGAGATATTTTGTCAACATTTTTTATTTTACTTTACAAGGAAGCCAGAATGTTTTTGTACAGTAGTTTGTTTTTTACATAATTATGTTTTCCAGTCTCTTTTGCACTTTACTCAAAATACATCTGAATAAACAGCCCATTCATCTCTTCAAAGTAACTTTATAAACTGTTAAACAGAATAAAAACAAACTTCTTCAAAGATTTAAACCAAATGTGACAAAACTTTATTTTGAGTGCAATTTTAGACCGATTTCACGTGGACACCATCTCTCCAAAATTAAATAAATTCAAGCCCCTCGTCCAACCTAAACCAACTAATTTAAATTCTAACCCAGGAAACACATCTGAAATCTGAAATCTACCTTTTGACACAAACCACCAGAAAATAAAAAAATACAGAAAAGAAGAAAATCTTAACAGCTGAAGATGAAAAGCTCTAAAAAAAAAAAAAAGAATAAACCACCGTCTTTCTCATGCGTTTCTTTATAATCTAACAGCTGACGATATTTTCAGGTATTTCGCTCTTCAGTTTCAGATTCATTTCTCTTTGATTAACTGTCAGGATGAAGCAGAAAGGTTGATCAAAAAAAAAAGAAAAAAAGGCAATGGCAGCGTTCGGATGGAGCTTCACTTTCAATAGCAGAATATTTAGAATCATAAGAATCTTTCTACACCATCACCAGCAAACCAACATCAACCAGAATCAGGTGAAAAGAAACGTACATTCAGTTTGGACACAGTAAAATGTGGACTCACTCACACACAATAACAAACAGAAAAACTGTCTCATTTTGTTGGATTTCAATGATCACACCTGGAAACATAAGAGCAGAATCTAAAGAGGTGGTATCCACAAAAAAAAAAGTTTAAATGCTGAAGTCTCTATCACCTGAAAATGCTTCATATTTTAAGTAAGAGCCAAATGTATACTTATAACGTCTTAGTTTGTCTGCAACAGCTTGTACTGCAGATTTTATCTATAAGGATTCAGCAACACGAGAGGGTCAATATTTAACGTATGCTGGACAAATATCCACTAAAAGTCGTTTTGTCCCTGACAGGCTCAGACTGCTATTCTAAGGCTTTGTTCACACTGCAGCCAAAAGTGACCTGAATCTGAATGTTTGCTCCTGTGTGACACAGATCAGATTTTTCACATGGAATCTGATCTTTACACATTTCCAGATGAGTCTGTATATAGGCCACATTTAAAACCAATGTTAACAGCCAAACAAAGAAAAATCTGAACTGGGCATTAAGGCCGGCAGTAGACCGCAGCCTGAGTGTCTGACAACAGAAGGATCTCAACAAAGTTAAACCTTCATAAATGGACACCAAAGTCCGTTGACAAAAACTGTATTTGTACCTCACTGAACACAGGAGAGGCTGGTCTACTGCTGCTGAGTCTTTAAACAGCACTTCTACAGGCCTTTATTTCACAGATGACTCCAGATTATAACATTTCACCGCAATTGAAACCTTAAAACTGTCATTGAATATTGAATTGAACAAACTGCATCATCATGTTTATACTCTGAACTACATCTCCAGTGGCCAGTAACACATCATGTACTCATCACAGTGAGTAAGAAAGAAGAAGAAATAGGTCAAATTAATAAAAACACATGACACATGCAGCCCTGTCATTTACATGTAGACCGGTTCTGGTAATCTGTCCCGGTGCTGCAGAACTGTAAACAGGACAGACAGAAGTTTTTGGAGGGACATTTCTTTTTTCTATGTTTGAAATAAATAGAGTTGCCACATTTTCCCTGATAGTCTACTGCAAAATATGATGGGCCTTTTACAAACAGGGATGATAAGACAGTGGAAATAATATTTATAGAAACTGAAGATGTTGTTTTCAAGCTGAATCTGCAGATGGATTTCTCTGCACCACATCTTCTCCGACAGCAGCGACCGCCGCCGCTCGGTCCTGCATCGCTCAGTAGAGACCAAAAACACACACTCACACACGCATACACTCTATCACAAACACACACACATCCCAGGTTTACACAAGTTTCTTGGCCTCGAAGAAGCTCTTCAGATGTCTCATCTGCCAGATTCCGATGGCCACCAGGATCAGAGTCTGCACGATGGACCACCAGAGGACCCGCTGGTTGGTGCTCTCGCTGGTCTGACGGAAACGTTCCTCACGATACTAAAAAGACAGACAGACAGCAGGGGACTGTCAACAACTGAGGACAACTCACATCACCAAATGACAGGGCTAGGCAATACATGCGTCATAAGTAATGTTTTTTTTTTCACTTATCAACAACGGCAGTGTTTTGATTTTAACGATACGTCTTATCCAAAGTTAGGCACCTAGCTGACATGATTGGCAGGTGGGCACTATGTAACGGTTGATCAAGAGGCTTTAACCCAGCCTCAGCTTCGGCTCTATATCTAAGCCTGATGTTAGATTGACCCCCTGCCGTAACACATGGCCAACGTCACTCAGGCTTCGTCCATAAATATTTACAGTCTATGGCTATAATTAGTAGGCCGAGCTAACAAAGCTATCAAGTTGTTCATTACATCTCCTCTGATGTCTCCTCTCTTCTTTTTTGCAGTATAATCAACTGCTGCTCAGTATTCATCAGCTCCAACTACAACATAATACGATCAATTTCGGTCGCCATGGTTTCCTGCACAAAAACAAGCAGAGCTGTGGTGGAACCAGAACCTGGTGATATAACGAGCATAGAGTCGCACTGCCAGCAAGCGGTTGTAGGCGGAGTATTTCAGAGCTACGCAGACACACCAACATACAAGTATGTAGTGCTCACAACAGAATAGGCTAATGCGTCGCAGATTTGAAGCAGAAGCATAAACCTGGCTTAAGTGCTTCATTATAAATGTCACTGACAACATTTAGACCTCAGTCTGTTTGAAAAGCACAAAGACTGACCCTCTGGTAGTTCTGCTCTTTCTGGATCTGGTCGACCTGCTCCACCAGCTGTCGCACTCTCAGCTGCAGCTCCGTCAGTTTATCTTTGGCAGCAATCTCAGCGTAGTTGTTGGCGTGTTCTCCCACCTGAATGTCCAGGTGAACCCTCTGCAACACACAACAAGCAAGTTAAGCAGCAACTACTGATGACGAACCATTTTAATAATCTAACAGTGAGTAATATCCTAGCACAAGGTTGTGCTCTAGGTTTAACCTAATTAATTAATTAAATACTTTTTAAGACTTTAGAAAATAACCTTTAGTTATAAAAAAAAAAAAGATAATAATATTCAAAATGTTCAGTAGTTAAAAGAAGAATAAAAGTGAGGAAAAGGAGAGGAAATAATTGAGTTCCAAACATTCCTATCTTCAGAGTACACAACAGGACAAAATGTTCCTCTGTGTTGATTCTAAAAGCAGCTATAAAACCCTAACCCGACACCTAGTCTACAATGTAAATAATAAAACTGAAATGTGTATGTCATGTGAGGCTTCCCCTCACCAGCAGGCCTCCGGCGAACAGGGAGAACTTGGAGGAGTTGGAGTGCAGACAGATCTGATGCTCTCCTGGTGTGTGAGAGGTAAAGGTGAACCTTCCCTCAGAGCCGTACTGCCGAGACAGAATCACCTGCAGGAAACACACACACACGCCCGTTACTCACAGATGGAGATAAAGTAAACAGACCTTCTATAAGTAGTAAAGTTTGCTCACCTTGTCGTCTGGATCTCTGACCTCCACAAACATCCCCAGACCCTGAGTGGCTGGCAGGTATTCTTCTCTCTGTTTGTCATACAGCTGAGTCCGATAGTTACCTGCACACAGGGACAGAGGTGTCATCATTAAAATGTTTTAGTCCTCTGTGTGGACCAATCAGGTTAAGTCTCAGCTTAAGAAAAGTAGACAGCATTTTAAGAGCTTTAGTCTCTATCCTCAGTCATAAGATGACCCATGAGTCAGCTTTAGTCGCTCTGTAAAAGTATGTTAGTGGAGTTTTGCACCACCTGCTGCTAAAGAATGAGGTCCCTATTAGTTCTACACAGATAAAAACAGAGAGAAGAAATGAAGAATTTGTCAATAAAAATGCAAAAACCTGCACAGCATGAACTGTAATTTTCCCCAAAAATCTAATGTTGTCTTACTTTTTAATACCATCTGTTTTAAAACGACACTTCCTTTATTTTAATTATCTAAAGCATGGAAAAGTACCAAATACTTCAAAAAGACAGATCTTTAGT